GGCTAAGGATACAGTAGCAACCAAGACCAAGCAGAACCCTGCACTCTGGATTTCGTCATCTGGTGCAGAGTTTCCAGAAGGCAGGACAGCAGTGCTGCACATTGTAGAAAATTCCGCATCCCTGGCCTCTACCCAGAGATGCCAGCATCGCTCTCTACCCCAGGTTGTGACAAGCAAAACAAGCAAAAAAGCCACTCCCGTCAAGGGGATTCTGACTCACAGCGACTTTATAGGGAAGTAAAAGTGCCCCTTTTGAGGGTTTTGGATACTTTAAGCCTTTACCGGAGCAGAAAGGCCCATGTTTCTCCCAAGGGGTGACTGGTGGATTCAAACTGCTGACCTAGTGGCAGCCTGTAGCACACTGCATCATCAGGAACCAGGCTTGGCTGGTCCTCTAGTCCAGCCCTGCCACTGCTGCTCATGTGGCCTCGGCTAGGTGCTTTGGTTTCCTTCCCTCAGATGGGATTGGCAGTCGTTCTGGCACCATAGACATTAAAAGGAGTAAAGTGATTGCCAGTGCCAGTCTCTGGGTCTTTTTGGGGGGCGGTGCTGATAGAAATAGAACTGTAGTTTGCCAAAACATTTTCTCCCATTTTGAACAGCTTGGGAATGCATATCACATGTAGGCGGACGTTTCTGGTGCTTAAATGAAAAAGTACTAAAACAGTTAAGTCATGAGAGTTCATTTTTATGTCCCTACAGACACTTTGAGAAACTAGACTTGGGAGAAAAACAATTGTTCTAAAAGAAAAATGGCCCCAAAACCCTGTTTGATCTTCCATAGTAATACAACTTTTGTTTCTTCTATGCAAGTATGTAATCTACCTTGTGCAGACATTCTGAATCAAACATTCTGCATCCTCTACTTGGGAAGTTAAGGCAGGCTTTGTTGTGCTGTCCTCTGTAGAAGTATAACAGCAAACAGAATCCAAACTCATCACTGCAAATGTATTTAACCTGTCTCCATGGGATTTAGCTCCAACTATTTTGTCTCCTTTAAATCTTAGAAAAGGAATTGTGGTTTATAATAATATTCTCAATCCCTTCAACATTAGCAGGCTTCTCTCGCTCTTCTCAATGAGCTTTAACGTGGTGGTGGTTTGAAGAACTCAAATCGAAATCTTTTGTAATTGATTAACCATGCATCAATGCATTTGGTATTTTAAAAATGCATGAGATAAGTGTGATAGATTGAGAGTAGAACTGAATGCTTGTTCCCTCAAGTGACAAAACAACAAACAAACCTTTTAAAAGTCTTCACGTTGCAAATATTTTTAACTTGCTCCCTTGAAACATTTTTTTTTAGTGGCCTATAAGTGGTTGACCTTAGGAAATGTAAATTTGTATCCAAAATTAGGGGTATTTACCTAAATTTTTTCCCTAAGAATTAACAAGTTTGTTCATTACCAATAAATTGCTTTGCTTGCCTGCCATGTTCTGGGTTTGCAATGCTGAGAATACAGGGACAAGCTTCTCGGCATGAAGCTTACATTCTAGTGTGTGAGGCGGGCAGCAAATGAACAACCTCTCCAAAAACCAAAACTCACTGCCTTGCTCGCTTCGGCAGCACAGATACTGAAATTGGACCAATACAGAGATTAGCATGTCCCCTGAGCAAGTATGAGACGCACATTCATGAAGCATTCCCTTTAAAAAAAGTAATTTAAAAAACCAACTCACTGCCAGTGAGTCTATTCTGACTCACAGTGACCGTCTAGGAAGGGCAGACCTGTCCCTGGGTTCCAAGGCTGACAGGAAGTAGAAAGCCCTGTTCCTGATCCGTGGAGCAGTGATGTCTGTCTATTCAACCTCCTCAGACACATGCTTAGGACAATGTAAGGGTCTTAGAGAAGCGTGTTACCACTTTTCAAATGTTTGAAGATATTTACCACCATTTACAGACAGTGATTATCCTAATTTGTCTAGAAGGGTGTGGAGAGAATTTTTACTGTTTTATTTCATGATGAACCTGTGTAACTTGATTTTCCTTCACTGAGATAAACATCCAGATTCTGCACATAAATCAAAATGTACATTTATTTCTGGGGGGAAAAATCTTACAGGATTTTTATGTAAACAATACCACTTTTATACAGGCACAGTTAAAAGCCTTTATTGCTATTGTCATTTGCCATTAGTACTCATTCTGGTTTCTATTTATAGTGTAGTAGTTTATGTCCCTTCGAAGTGAGATAACAAAACAGGAAACTCCTGTCAAATTCTTGAATGCAATGCACTGTGCTTGGGGCAGGGAGCAGGAGCGAGCAACTGGCAGAATAAACCCAGCCCTTGCTAGCAAAGGCCTTAATGTGCCGTCAGTGAAGAGGACCAAATAAAAGCTATCACGCGAACAAAAACAACTTGTTGACTCTCATCTTTCTCCCGGGGAGCTGGCAGGTGGTGGCAGCCCAGGGCGTAACCACGACACCACCAGGGCTCCTTTGTCCATACCACAGACTCCATCTCATCGAACCCTATTTGCAGATACCAATTTTCTCGGTGAGGCATATAGTTTGCCATCACTGGTTGAATAGCTGGGAATCTTAACATTGACTTGTGAAACATATTAATCAAACACCCTATGTATGTAAAAGCAAAATACAATTTGTATGAGGGTAAGGTATAGACCAGGGGTCCTCAAACTACGGCCCGCCGAGGACATTTATCTGGCCCCCCAGGTGTTTTTGCCCTGTTTGTTTTTTTACTTCAAGATAAGATATGTGCAGTGTGCACAGGAATTTGTTCATAGTTTTTTTTAAAAACTATAGTCCGGCCCTCCAACGGGTCTGAGGGACAGTGAACTGGCCCCCTGTTTTAAAAGTTTGAGGACCCTTGGTATAGACTAAAGTATAGACCAGCGGTTCACAACCTGTGGGTCATGACCCCTATGGGGGTCAAACGACCCTTTCCTGAGCCACCTGATTTCATAACAGTAGCAAAATTACAGTTATGAAATAGTAACAAAAATAATTGTATGGTTAGGGGATCACCACACCAGGAGGAACTAAAGGGTCATGGCATTAGGAAGGCTGAGAACCACTGGTATAGACTAAACTTGTATGGGACTAAAGTAAGGTGACCAGACGTCCCGCTTTTGGAAGGACAGTCCCGATTTTTGGAAAGAGTGCACCACAAGCTAGGGAATGGTCTATTTGGTCCATATAGACCAAATTTTTAATCAAGAACCCCACCCCCCGGTCAATGGTGTCCCACTTTAAATCTGGTCACCTTAGACTCACTAAAGTATAGATTTAGGCAGTTTGAAAGGTAGCCTAGGGAGAAGTATAAAATCACAGCTACTAAGCCCCACCACGTAATGGGTGGAGTACCCATGAAAGCGTTCAGGGCCGTAGCTGTTGGCACCCACGACGCTTTGTGAAAGAAGAACTAGAGAGCTGACTAGCGGCCTAAATGTGGGGGCTAAAGTGAAAACCTTGATAAACAACCAGAGGGATGGAACACCGATGATGACAGAGAAGCCGGCAAAGACCCTGGTTTATAGTGTGCATGTGAGGAACTTCTTGGCAGCATGAAACTTACATTAACCTGAAATACTTTCATGATTATCTTTTGTGGGCAATGAGATTTGAGCAGTTGGAACTTGGACAACTGAACCCATGAGCGTGAGTTAAATTATTTTCATAAACAGTAACTATAAGGGAGCACTAGAACTGGTTGTGATTACACAACTCATTTTAAAGGAGATTTAGCCATGAGGGGGGAAATGTTATAAAATCGATTGTGGTAATGATTGTACAATTCCTGATATGATTGAACTATTGTATGATAGGTGGATTAGGCACCAATAAAAATCTAAAAAAAAAAGTATAGAGAATGAAAACCAAGCCTGACTAAGTGGACTGGGGGGGAAAGGACGGATTGGTGTAGAAATGATTACTATTAGAAAGGGGGGAGGGCAATGGCTGAGTGGCACCAGAGAATGCAGCATTTTTCATCTGTGTATCTTGTGTTGAAGCAGGTCAGTGTATTTCTTTCTCTAGGGTTGTCATAAATTACACCTGCCTTGTGTATACTTCTCATTGAAGAATGGGTATTAATCCAAAGGTAATAGAGTTTTAGAAATAACCATTTCTTAATTGGTACCAATTCTGTGGGTGTAGGTCTGCAAACTGTGAAGTGCGTTTCAAGCTAGTGTTGGCAAACTTCCATACAAACACAGCTGCAGTAAGACCACACTATTTGCCATGTCTCTTTTCAATCATGGGAACTTGGGGAGTGGGGCTCTTGATTTTCTTAATGGCATTGTAGTGCCGTATACATGAATGTATGTTAGGCTGAAAATACCAAATTGAGTCATGTTGTTGACATGTTTCTGCTACGTTTTTTTAGCCAGTGTATTAAACAGTTGACAAGTAATTCTTGGTGCAATTGTAATAAACCACAAATTCAGTGTCTTAAAACAACCGAAATTTCTATTTCACGATTCTTGAGGACAATAGACTAAAACCATTCCTCTTCTGGCTTCCTAAGCAGCCCTGTGGTGTAATGGATTACATGAGTTAAGCCCACCAGCTGCTCTGAGGGCAAAAGATGCCGCTTCTCTGCTCCTGTAAAGATTGTACAAAAGCCCTACAGTTCTGCTCTGCCCCGTAGGAACACTAGATTGGAAATCTGCTCTGTGGCCGTGGTTTCCAGTCTCTGGTACTTCTGGCATACTTGACTTGAGGCCACAACACTCCAGTTCTGCCTGCATCTTGCCTGTTCTGTGTTGTCTCTAATCTTCCTGTGATTCTCTCATATAGGGACACGAGGATGACATGTAGGGTCAACCTGGGTAACCCAAAGACAACCTCAACTCAGAGCCCTTCATTTAATCCTATCTGCAGGGACACTTGTTCCAAAGTTAGAGGTACACATTTAGGGATTTGAATGCAGCTGTCTCCTGGGGAGAAGGCATGCACAGCCTACACCATACAGCGTGGGTGTGCTCAAGGATAAACCCCAAGTGTTCTGAATTGAACCGGACTCCGGTCCTCCCTGGAGAGATCCTGAGCACCTGGAAACCCCCAAATTAAATGCTCCTCCGGGAGTCTTCTGACTGAAGCCTAAAATCAGATGAGACTCAGCAGAAGTCACTAAACAATCCAGCCTGTACTACGTTCGATTCCCGAGCCAGTATAATGGTGATGCTTAAGTGCCATCGGGGCAGGTCCAACTCACAGTAATCCATGTGCACACTGTGCCATCCTCAAAGTGTTATGTTTGAGCCCTCATTACAGCCACTGTGTCAACCCATCTTGTCAGGAAACGTATTCATTGCACCTCCACTTCACCAAGCTTAATGTACTTCTCCAGGGACTGGTTTCTCCTAATAACATGTTCAAAGCACATGAAACGGTCTCACCACCCGCTTGCCCGAGGAGCACTCTAGCTCAATGTTGCACAAAAGATATTTGCTCTTCTGACAGTCCATGGTACTTTGAATATTCCTCGAAGTACCAGCACGATGATTCAAATACTCCCTTCTTCAGCCTTCCCTTAGTGAATGTCCAACTTTCACATGCACAATGGCGGTAGAATGCTGGTAACCATCGTCAACCCTTAGAATGACCCTGTATCTGGTGTATCTGGTCTACCCTCCCTAGTTTATAGTAACCTCCTCTTCCTACGGGACCTCCTTAGGTGCTGTTAAGTCCATTTCCACCTCAGCTCCCCTGGGTAGGGCGCATTGCCTCATAGGCCTTCTTAGCTATATTCTTCACAGAAGCAGGTGCTCCGGGAGAAACCAGGTACATTCAAACCGCCTTGCAGTTAGCAGCTCAGGGTTTATCCTTCCCCTCCTTAAAGAGCCGTAGAGGAATTTCAAACCACTCTCTGCCATCTAGTCAATGGTGACTCATAGCAATCCCCTGTGGGTTTCCGAGATTGTAACTGTTGACGGAATAGAAAGTCATTCTCCTGAGGAGCTGCTGGTGGTTTCGAACTGCCAACCATGCGGAATGCAGCCCAATGCCTAACCACTACACCACCAGGGCTTCTTCCACTTAGATAGAGGAATGGTATAAATAGCCAACTTTCAGACTTTTTTTGCAGCAGCAGTTTTAGGTTTGTTTTCCTCCCTACACACAGTGTCTCCTTCAACGCCTGCCTGCCAGCCTGAAGTATGTTATAATTAATGAACCAGTGTTGATATTATTAACTAATTATGAAGTGCCCTATTTAGGGATGACTATTGGTGGTACACATGCTTCTGGAATTTTGACAAATTATTAATGCCATGTGTCTATTATGACAGTAGCCTAAAGAAGATATTTCATGTCCTAAAAATACCCTGTGCTCCACTTTCCATCCCTTCCCATGGGTAGCACAGGTGCTTTCCCTGCCTCTGTAGTTTGGCCTTTTCCAGAATTTCAGATGCTTTGAATCATGCAGTGTGTACCATTTTTGGATTCATTTCTTTTACTTTGCAATGTACATCTAAGGTCTCTCTGTCTTTTAATTTCTTTTTTTTGTTGAAGTTGTTAATGATTTCATTTTGATCCACAATCAGTGAACGCAAAGGATGTATTTCACTGGGCAAATCTGCTAGAGCAAAGTGTCCCTTTGAGGACTAAGGTGCATTTGACCCAAGCCCTGTTATTGTCAGCCTCTTCCTAGGCAAGTGGCAGTTGCTCAGGGAATAAGGGAGCCCGGA